TGAAAAGACTCGCTTTGCACGTTTCACGCTTACTCGTAATGAAAAAGTTGCTGGATGCCTCTGGAATTTGCATGGGTGCCAACGGCTGCGGAGGACAGGGGAACGCGTCCATCAGTTTGAGTTTATGGACGGGAGTCTCCCTGAAATTTTAACCAATTTTGTTTTTGTTTTTGTCTCGATTTTTTTTATCTCTGATCATGTTTGCGAAAACAAAGTGGCCGAAATCCGAGGAGAAATCGGATTTTGGGGGTAGGTTAGGTTTTGGACCTCTGGGACCTTGGCCCCCCCACTTTCGAAAACGTTCCTACGCCTATGAAGGTGACCTCGAGTGGACGGACGAGCTTAGAGAAAGCTTCGATAACATCAAGACACAGCTGACGTCTCCTCCAATCCTGACCCTGCCGACATTTAAAGGGGAGTTCAGGCTCGCAACTGACGCCTCAAACACTGCGGTGGGAGCTGTTCTCACAGAGATGGTCGATGACGAAGAGAGAGTCGTCGCGTATGCCAGCAAAGTGCTAAACAAAAGCGAACGACGATGGCCAGCGTACGACAAGGAGCTGTGGGCGATTGTGTGGGCCATCAGACATTTTCGTCACTACCTCGCGGCCACTAAATTCACCATCACGTCCGACCACAAACCCCTAAAAAACATCCCGAAATCCATCAACGTTGACGGCGATGCCACTGGGAGGAGAGGTCGATGGGCCGTTGAGCTCAGCACGTACGACTTCGTCGTTGAGTACCGAAAGGGTAGTGACAACGGCAATGCCGATGCTCTGTCGAGGCCTGTCACCGATTTCACCGATCCAGCAGCTGATGCAGGAGTCAGCGAGCTCCTAACCGCCAACCACAAAGCCTCTCGGGAAGAAATTACCCTCGGGAAGCTAGAGCTGGAACAGGATCTGGACCCCGTCCTGAATGAAGTCAAGAACTGGTTGGCAGCGGGGAAGCTACCCCCAAGGAAGGAGCTCAAGAAAAAGAGTAGCTCTCTACGAACGATGGCTCGTTTTTTTTCGACCAGCTGTTCATAGATAAGGGCATCATGAAACTAAAGAGATCGGGCAGCGACAGCGATTCGGTGACGCTCCTCCCCAAAACGTATCGCAAGGTGGTTTTGGAGATGTTGCACGACGACGAGACTTCAGGCCATTTGGGAAAGACGCGCACTTTGGAAAAGTGGCGGCTAGATTATTTTGGACAGGGATGAGCAAGGATGTTAACCAGCACTGCGAAACATGCGAATTGTGTCAGAGGAGGAACGAACCAACGCCAAAAATGCAAGCACCAATCCAAACAGAGACATACTCGAGACCATTCGAAAGAGTGGCCGTCGATATAACCGAGATGCCAGTATCCGGACGTGGAAACAAATACGCCCTAGTCATTATGGATTATTTTACCAAGTACGTGGCCACATATGCCATGCCAAATCAAACGGCTGAATCAGTTTCCGAGTGCATGTTCGATTTGGTACTGCACCACGGGGTACCGGAGCGCCTCCACAGCGACCAAGGCCGACAGTTCGAATCAGCCGTCTTCCAATCACTCTGTAAGCGAATGGGCATAGAAAAGACTCGCACATCACCTTATCGGCCAGAAAGCGATGGAATGGTAGAGCGATTCAATCGGACGCTCAAAGACATGTCATCAAAATACATCAAGCCATGTGGGTCCGACTGGGACGATCGTTTGGCGTCCCTCACATTCGCCTACAACACGTCCAGGCACTCGGTGACCGGTTTCACGCCTTTCTTTCTGGTGCACGGACGTGAAGCTCGCCTTCCCGTCGATGAGCTATTCAGAACACGTCAGGAGGTTTCGATGGTCGACACCTACCTAGAACACAAGCTTCGTCAGCTACGCCATGCACATGAAGAAGTCCGTGAAAAAAAATCGAGCAAGCAGCGGCCAACATGAAGGATTCCCGCGACCAGTCAGCACGAGTAGTAAAGTAATCTTGGTCAGCACGAGAGACACCGTACATGCCGGGTCAGAAGGTCTGGGTGAGGGACCACACCACTTGTCCTGGAGGCAAACGCAAGCTGGCATTGCACTACAAGGGACCAGGGACTGTGATAGAGAAACAAGGTCCAACTGAGGAAGGAGTCACGTATAAGGTCAGTATGCCTGGTGGGAAGGTTATCAGGGTACACCACAACCACCTGAAGCCTTTAAAAGCGAGAGAGACGCACGTCCCAGATGCTCCTCCGGCGATCCGAAGCGCCAGCAGGGGGCAGTCCGACCAAAACAAGCAAACTGAGAGCAAAGAACCGAGCATGGTGTTAGAAGCGGACAGCTCGTTTCCGACCTTCGCGTGGATACCTGACGAGACAGCCAGCGCACAACAACCAGGACAAACTTCGAGTCCATTATGTCACACGTTACGGGAGGGTATCCCGGCCTCCGGTATGGTACCCCGACCTGTGAATACGCTTGTGAGTGATTACATTTAATGTCATTGTCAATCCTTCAGCATCTCTGTGCAATTTGCCGTAGTAATATTCATAAACATACACACGTCAGACTTGTTCGGTTATGTGTGACCAAAGTGTGCGACATGTTCTGAGCTAATGTGTCGTCGGCAGGCCTGAACCTCGAGGGGGTGAAGCGCGAGTTGGCGTCCCAGCGCTGAGGTGCAGATGCGGCGCTCGATTTTCGACGCCGTCGCCGGCGCAGACGTCACCAGTACCAGATGTCGCCGGCGCAGACGTCACCAGAGCGGACGTCACCAGCACGAACGTCGCGAGAGCAGACGTCACCGACTGCAACGCCGCAGACCGAGCAGCTGATGCCACGGCTGCAGCTGATCGCGGCCTTGCCGGTGGTCGAAGCAGCCGTTTCATCGCGGTGCTTTACAGGGCAGAGAAAAAGAGACATTTTGTTTAGGGGGGAGGTGTGTTAGGATGTGTTAGTGCACTGTGTGCCCGGTGCCACCTCTCGGCGCGCTGCTGGGTGCGCCACTGCGGACCGCCTCCCGCTGGGCGCGCCGCTGCCACCGGCGGCGCGGGGTCACGGCCGCAGCCGGGGGCGGCGGTCATTCTGGACCGGGGAGCCGCCACGCGCGGGTGCTGCCGCTGGTGCTGCTGCTGCTGGTGCAATGCCTGTATTGAGCACCAATACACGACTGATGGATACGCTGCCTGTGGCCTAACATGTGTTTCAGAACCTGCCGAAACTTTTATTACAAAGGCATTTTGACGCCAAACGATTATTGACAGGCACTTACCATTCACTCGTAATGCTAACGTCAATTCAGGCCCGGGCAGAGGCTTGTGCTCGGCCATACTCGAGCCCCGCCACCAGCGCCATCATCTACCAGCGCCCGCTACCGCTACCAGCTACCGCCCACCATCAAGCCTGGATGGAGCGCGAGACGCGAGTGACCGCGAGTGACCGGACGCCTGGCAAGGAGCGCCGGAGATTAGGGCAAGGAGCGGGCGGAGATTAGCGCTGACGTCATTACGTGGCTCCGCCCCATGAGTGCGTAGCCTGTACCCAAACAGCAGATAGGTTCTGTGAAATTTAACAATACGAGCGAATGAGAAGTACCTTTCATAATCGTTTGGCGTCAAAATACCTTAGTAATAGGTAAACGTTTCGGCAGGTTCTGAAACGCATATTGCCAGAATATCGCAGGGGTGAAGAATTAGGGGTTTTGGGGGTGCTCGAGCACTCCCTGAAATTCAAAGGTCATCAGATAATAGTGCTCAAGTGGTTGCTTAACCCTCGCCGGACCTATTGGTTTTCTACATACGCGCCGGCCGAGGGGGGGGGGGGGGCGGGTGCGACCCCCCTCGCCGTTTCGCCCCTGGTGGAGCTAGCGCGTCGCGGAAAAAACGAGCGTGTGTGCCGTTACGAGACGCAGAGATTGGTACCCGATTTTAAGGTCCTAGGTCAACCGGTGACCTCTGAGGTCAGGTCAAGTGCCCCAGGGTACGGTTCAGTTTTTGGTGAATAACTTCGCAAAAAACGGCCGCAGAGCCGCGATTTTGGCAGCATCGTGTTCGCTTTCCTCAGGCGCGTCGAATGATATACTTTTTGTTCGGGTCAGGTCAACTTAGGGTGTTGACCTCAGGTCAAGGTCAGGTCAGCAGTCAGCACCCTTAGGTCACGAAGTTGGTCGAAAGAGGTCATGTCGCATATCATTCGATTCGGCAGGTCTTCCTGAGTCCATTGGTGGCTTTCTCGACTCGCTAGCTCAATTTGATCGGGAGTTATTGACGAAAAACTAATATGACCTTGATGACGTCATAAATGACGTCACGGAAGGTCAACATTGCAAAAGTGACGCATCTGACCTGGCAAGGAGTGCATCAAATCACGATTCTGTGTGCTTGAGATAGTTGGAGATCGTTCCCGGCGCCAGAATAGCAGTTTGAATTTTTCCCCATTGACTTATAATGGTGAGGTCACGAAAATGACCTGACCTCATATGACCTTTAGGAAAAATCCGAGATATACAAGTTGTGAGACTCATAATGGATACTAGATCCTGCAAGTTTCATTTCCCTGTGACATCTCCTCTGGCAGTGAGGGCGTTACGAAGTTGCGACATCTGAAGACCGTGCAGAGGTTCACTTATGACGTCATAGGTCAGTGACCTGACCTGACCCAAAAATGCGGTTGGTGTCAAAAGATGCGGCTTGGATCAAAGGTCAGGTATGCCAAGTTTCAGCTCTCTATCGCCAGCGTGTTCGGAGCTATCACGAAAAACCGAGGGGGGCGGCACCCGCCTCCCCCCTCGGCCGGCGAGGGTTAAATTACGTCTGAGACACAAACTGCTTTGCGTAAGACGCAAGAGACGGCCACTGCTGCAGGATGCAGGTGGGTGACCAGGCGGCTGGACGGGCGGCCCGCCCCCACTGCTGCAGGATGCAGGTGGGTGACCAGGCGGCTGGACGGGCGGCCCGCCCCCACTGCTGGACGGGCGGCCCGCCCCCACTGCTGGGTGACCAGGCGGCCCGCCGCGGGTGACCAGGCGGCCCGCGCCCACTCACCGACGCCGAAGTGGGCCACTGTGATGACGGCCTGCGCGGTGGCCTCGGTGGCGGGCCGGCTCTGGCTGGCAGCGAACAGCACGGCCGCCAGCCAGGCCAGGTGCACGGTGAACATCTCCAGCGACTCGGCCACCAGAAACAGCCACGGAACCAGGATGTACGCATAGCCTGCCGACACACAACGCCATACCTGGAGAACTGTACTCCACTGGGGGCGTCCCAGCACCCGCCTAATCCTGCCAGAACCCATACCAAATAAATGAACACCCATGTAAAATTTCAAACACTCATAACACGAAACAATGCAAATTTAAAATCGTACCTTAATAATAAATCCGAATATCTTGCCAAATATATGATAAAAAACCAAACGACTGTTTAGGGCTAGCCCATTATCAAGTCTCTTGACCAAATCAGAGCTGATAAGGGGCTACGCACGAAATAGTCTAAGTCATCTCATTTTGTAATAACATGTTTGGCAATATATTCAGCTCTATTATGAGGCTAAGGTCTTGAATCTTTATTTTAGTTGTAACGAGCCTCAAAGAGCGTTTGCTAATAGGTACCCAAATATAGAATGTTTATACAATATTACTTTACTAATCACTAATCAGTAATCAGTACCCAATAACACAACTCTTATTTGTGCAAGACACCTTGCTCAGTGACTACATGAAGAAAGAATGCTGAAAAACTGTTTTTATGTGCTGGTGTCGAAACAACCATGTCAGGTCCCGCCAACGAGCATATCATGCTAAGAAAGTACAAAGTTATCCCAGAGCTAACAGATTAGGTACGTGGATAGAGCTGCGTAAGAGCGTTTGGACTTTGGAAAATAACGTGACGTCCTAGATGCCAGCATGAAGCCCTTGGAGAGTTGAGATGGTTGCAGACTTGTTGAGATTAGAGACATCAGCCCCCTGTATCTTTTAGTCAGTGATGCTCCACCCCCGGCTCCGGCACTCAGTGTCAGTGATATCCCACCCCCGGCTCCAGTACTCAGTGTCAGTGATGTCCCACCCCCGGTCCCCGGTACTGTGTCAGTGATGTCCCACCCCCGGCTCCGGTACTGTGTCAGTGATGTCCCACCCCCGGCTCCGGCACTCAGTGTCAGTGATGTCCCACCCCCGGTCCCCGGTACTCAATGTCAGTGATGTCCCACCCCCCGGTCCCCGGTACTCAGTGTCAGTGATGTCCCACCCCCGGCTCCGGTACTGTGTCAGTGATGTCCCACCCCGGTCCCCGGTACTCAGTGTTGGTGATGTCCCACCCCCGGTCCCCGGTACTCAGTGTCAGTGATGTCCCACCCCCGGCTCCGGCACTCAGTGTCAGTGATGTCCCACCCCCGGTCCCCGGTACTCAGTGTCAGTGATGTCCCACCCCCCGGTCCCCGGTACTCAGTGTCAGTGATGTCCCACCTCCGGCTCCAGTACTGTGTCAGTGATGTCCCACCCCCGGCTCCGGTACTGTGTCAGTGATGTCCCACCCCCGGTCCCAGTACTGTGTCAGTGGTGTCCCACCCCCGGCTCCGGTACTGTGTCAGTGATGTCCCACCCCCGGTCCCCGGTACCGTGTCAGTGATGTCCCACCCCCGGCTCCGGTACTCAGTGCCAGTGATGTCCCACCCCCGGTCCGCGGTACTGTGTCAGTGATGTCCCACCCCCGGTCCCCGGTACTGTGTCAGTGATGTCCCACCCCAGGTCCCAGTACTGTGTCAGTGATGTCCCACCCCCGGTCCCCGGTACTGTGTCAGTGATGTCCCACCCCAGGTCCCAGTACTGTGTCAGTGATGTCCCACCCCCGACTCCGGTACTCAGTGTCAGTGATGTCCCACCCCGGCCCCCGGTACTGTGTCAGTGATGTCCCACCCCCGGTCCCCGGTACTGTGTCAGTGATGTCCCACCCCCGGTCCCAGTACTGTGTCAGTGATGTCCCACCCCCGGCTCCGGTACTGTGTCAGTGATGTCCCACCCCCGGTCCCCGGTACCGTGTCAGTGATGTCCCACCCCCGGCTCCGGTACTCAGTGCCAGTGATGTCCCACCCCCGGTCCGCGGTACTGTGTCAGTGATGTCCCACCCCCGGTCCCCGGTACTGTGTCAGTGATGTCCCACCCCAGGTCCCAGTACTGTGTCAGTGATGTCCCACCCCCGGTCCCCGGTACTGTGTCAGTGATGTCCCACCCCAGGTCCCAGTACTGTGTCAGTGATGTCCCACCCCCGACTCCGGTACTCAGTGTCAGTGATGTCCCACCCCGGCCCCCGGTACTGTGTCAGTGATGTCCCACCCCCGGTCCCCGGTACTGTGTCAGTGATGTCCCACCCCCGGTCCCAGTACTGTGTCAGTGATGTCCCACCCCCGGCTCCGGTACTGTGTCAGTGATGTCCCACCCCCGGTTCCCGGTACCGTGTCAGTGATGTCCCACCCCCGGTCCCAGTATTGTGTCAGTGATGTCCCACCCCCGGTCTCCGGCTCCTATACTCAGTGTCAGTGATGTCCCACCCCCGGTCCCAGTACTGTGTCAGTGATGTCCCACCCCCGGCTCCGCACAGTGATGCAAATGGGGTTCACGAGTGGCCATAAATACCCAAAAGTCAAGTTTACCAAATCGAGTTAATTGCGATATGGCCGAGTAGACAAATGTTTGGGGCATCTGAAATCACATGGTTTTCATGTTTTTGTCAAAACCGGCCTCGTGTACAATCGTCAGAAGTCGTGACATTTTCTAGGTCGTAAAATGACGGTCAGACACTCGCAAGTTCAAACGCCGCTGGTTTGCGTTCATTTCGTACAAATTGAAAAAATTATGCATGAGAATGATCCCCAAAGCCTTCTGCTTCTAATGCCGGGTCACAAAAAGCCGTATCTCATTCACTTTGGCGGTAATCTGACTATTTATCATTATCATCATGTTGCAATCGCAGTTTTTTACTAAGAAAAAAAAATGCTTTCGTTTCACCTACAGCACTTAACACAGTGTGTGCCCGTTAGTTCACCATACCATAGCCTTCCCTAATCATTTCTGAGTCGCATCGTGAAAGAGTTAAGGCGCTAGCACAGGGCTGACCGGCGCTACAGAGGTTTTTGTCCGGGCTGTCGGGCGCCTCAGTGGGAGCGCAGTGGTCGGGTGGGTGCCGCCGCGCGGCGTCCGGGCGGCGCGGCGGCGCGGCCGCCCGGCCACGCCCGCTGCGCCGCGGCACCCGACCGTGCCGGACGAAAACTTCTGTAGCGCCGGTCAGCCCTGTGCTAGCACCTTAATTCTTTTACGATGCGACTCAGAAATGATTAGGGAATGCTATGATATGGTGCATTAACGGGCACACACTGTGTGAAGTGCTGTAGGTGAATTGAAAGCAAATATTTTTGGTAAAAAACTGCGGTTGCAACATGATTACAAATAGTTAGCTCACCGCCAAACCAAAATAGATACGGCTTTTTGTGACGTGGCATTAGAAGCAGCAGGTTTCGGGGATCATTTTCATGTATAACTTTTGCAGTTTGTATGACATGAACGCACGCTAGCGGCACTTGAATTTCAAGTACCTGACAGTCATTTTACGACATCGAAAATGTCTCGACTTCTGACAATCCTACACGAGGCCGGTTTTGACAAAAACATTAAAATCATACTTTTTCAGACACCCCAAACATTTGCCTGACTGACCATAATACGATTTATTCGATTAAGTTAACTTGAATTTTGGGCCTTTTTCGTATTTATGGCCACTCGTGAACCCCATTTGCATCACTGTGCTCCGGTACCGTGTCAGTGATGTCCCACCCCCGGTCCCAGTATTGTGTCAGTGATGTCCCACCCCCGGTCTCCGGCTCCTATACTCAGTGTCAGTGATGTCCCACCCCCGGTCCCCGGTACTGTGTCAGTGATGTCCCACCCCCGGTCCCCGGCTCCGGTACTTTGTCAGTGATGTCCCACCCCCGGTCCCAGTACTGTGTCAGTGATGTCCCACCCCCGGCTCCGGTACCGTGTCAGTGATGTCCCACCCCCGGTCCCCGGTACTGTGTCAGTGATGTCCCACCCCCGGCTCCGGCACTCAGTGTCCGTGATGTCCCACCCCCGGTCCCCGGCTCGGGTACTTTGTCAGTGATGTCCCACCCTCGGTCCCCGGTACTGTGTCAGTGATGTCCCACCCCCGCCTCCGGCACTCAGTGTCAGTGATGTCCCACCCCCGGCCCCGGTACTGTGTCAGTGATGTCCCATCCCCGGTCCCAGTACTGTGTCAGTGATGTCCCACCCCCGCCTCCGGCACTCAGTGTCAGTGATGTCCCACCCCCGGTCCCAGCACTGTGTCAGTGATGTCCCACCCCCGGTCCCCGGTACTCAGTGTCAGTGATGTCTCACCCCCGGTCCCCGGTACTCAGTGATGTCCCACCCCCGGTCCCCGGTACTCAGTGTCAGTGATGTCCCACCCCCGGCTCCGGCTCCGGCACTCGGTGTCAGTGATGTCCCATCCCCGGTCCCAGTACTGTGTCAGTGATGTCCCACCCCCGGTCCCCGGTACTCGGTGTCAGTGATGTCCCACCCCCGGTCCCTGACTCCGGTACTCAGTGTCAGTGATGTCCCACCCCCGGCTCCGGTACCGTGTCAGTGATGTCCCACCCCCGGCTCCGGTACTGTGTCAGTGATGTCCCACTCCCGGCTCCGGTACTGTGTCAGTGATGTCCCACCCCCGGCTCCGGCACTCGGTGTCAGTGATGTCCCACCCCCGGCCCCGGTACTGTCAGTGATGTCCCACCCCCGGTCCCTGGCTCCGGTACCGTGCCAGTGATGTCCCACCCCCGGCTCCGGTACTCAGTGTCAGTGATGTCCCACCCCCGGTCCCGGTACTGTGTCAGTGATGTCCCACCCTCGGTCCCCGGTACTGTGTCAGTGATGTCCCACCCCCGGTCCCCGGTACTGTCAGTGATGTCCCACCCCCGGTCCCCGGCTCCGGTACTCAGTGTCAGTGATGTCCCACCCCCGGCCCCGGTACTGTGTCAGTGATGTCCCACCGCCGGTCCCAGTACTGTGTCAGTGATGTCCCACCCCCGGCTCCGGTACTCAGTGTCAGGACATCCGGCTCCGGTACTCACTGACGTATCGGACGATGTATATGATGAGCGCGATGATGAAGATGTGGTGGTGGCCGCAGTAGTTGATGAGCGGCTCGGCCCTGGCCAGGAAGGGCAGCAGCAGCGCCGTGCCCGCCGCCAGGCTCAGACCGTTCTGCAGCTGAGAGCCGCCCAGCGCGCTCACGTGATCGTACAGGTACGCCTCCAGGAAACCCCACAGCGTGCCGAGCAGCATCAGCACGCACAGAACGCTGAAAAACTCGAGGTTGCACAGGCTTTTGGCGAGCGGGCGCAGGTAGTCGCGCCGGCCGGTCGGCGCCGGAGGTACCGGCACCACCGAGGCTAGGATCACGCAGATGAGCATCAGCGCGCAGAACACGTAGAAACTGGGCCTGAAGTCCAGGTATTTGAAGAGCTTCTCGTGCACGTCGATCAGGTAGCCGCAGATGGGCGCGAACGTCACGAGTCCGAGCAGGCCGCAGGCGGCCTCCCAGCCGTAGTCGGAGCCGTGGCGGCGGCAGAGCGCCAGCGCGCTGGTGTTCACCAGCACCAGTGCCAGCGGCAGGCACAGCTCGGTGACGGCGCGCAGACCAAAGTACAGCCAGAAGGTGAGCCGGCCGTCGGGCGGCGGCCGCCGACACCGGCCGGCCGCCCACAGCGGCGGCGCGCCCACGCTCAGCTGGCGCGCGTGGCAGCTGACGTGGCACTGCGGCGGCGCGCGGCACGTCAGCGCGTCGAACGTCTGGTGGCCGCGCGCCAGGTCCACCAGCGGGTAGCTGCACTGGCCCCGCTCGTCAGGCTGCTCCAGCAGGCGCGGCACCGAGCCGTTCACCACCAGGCCGTCGCCGACGTCGGCCACCAGCTCGCACACGGTGTTCTCGCCCGAGGTGAGGCAGAGGTGCGGCAGGCCCGACGGCAGCGGCACGCCGGGCCGGCAGGTGAACGCGCACCGCTCCAGGTAGTACTGGCGCGGCCGCGGGTCGCCGAGCCGACACGGCTGCTGGCAGCGCGCCGCGGCCAGCAGGCCGCCCTGGTCGGTGCAGAGGAAGGTGAGCGCCTCCAGCTCGGCGTCGGCCGGCGGCGGCGGCTGCACGGCCGGCACCAGCATCAGGCACGGGTAGGCGGCGGCGCAGAGCAGCAGCGCGCCCACCAGCAGCGGCCGGTACGAGCCGAGCCGGTCGGCCAGCGCGCCGCCCAGCAGCGGGCCGGCGCAGCCCGCCAGCGGCAGCACCGTCTGCAGCCAGCCGAGCTCGGCCGCCGACAGGCCCAGCGTCGACATGTGCAGCGCCACGAACGGCAGCACGCAGCTCACCCCTGCGGGCGACGGGCGCCGCCGGTCAGCGCGCCGCGGCCGGCAGACACAACACGGCAAACGCAAACAGACGGCACGCCAGACACAACACGGCAAACGCAAACAGACGGCACGCCAGACACAACACGGCAAACGCACACAGACGGCACGCCAGACACAACACGGCAAACGCACACAGACGGCACGCCAGACACAACACGGCAAACGCAAACAGACGGCACGCCAGACACAACACGGCAAACGCACACAGACGGCACGCCAGACACAACACGGCAAACGCACACAGACGGCACGCCAGACACAGCACGGCAAACGCAAACAGACGGCACGCCAGACACAACACGGCAAACGCAAACAGACGGCACGCCAGACACAGCACGGCAAACGCAAACAGACGGCACGCCAGCAAGCGATCACGTCAAATATTGTCCCAGTTGCCGATGTAATTTCCCTAGCTAAGCATGGCCATGATCAACAAAAACAGAAGTCGTTTGCTGTTCCTTTCCCCAAATGGTCACTTAGCACCTCACCCATCTTAGCATTAACTCGGCACCAGTCGTGAGTGGGTGCGTGTCCGTGGCGTTCAGGGGGGACGCACGTGGTAGGTAGCAGTCATCAGGCTAGTCGGAGGGTCCGGTGGCTGCGTCTATTGGCAGGCAATCTTTCTATTGTGTCTTGTTACCGCGATTGTGGGCTATTGGCGAACGGTGCCGTCCCGATCTGTGCGCGGGGGAGCCATCCCCTCCCCCACTCGCGGCCCGTCGCTCGGCTCACCTCCGTAGAAAGAGAAGAGCATCACTCGCAGCGGCAGCAGCGGCGTCTTGCAGAGCGTCATGGCTGGAGCGGCTCGGCGGCCTCAGACGCGGCCGCGGCGCGTCACGGGACTGCCAGCACGGAGGGCGGCGCGTCACGGGACTGCCAGCACGGATGGCGGCGCGTCACGGGACTGCCAGCACGGAGGGCGGCACGTCACTGGAGGGGGCACGTCACTAGCCCGCGCCCGACTGGGGGTCCTGGATTTCCGCGCCCTGCTGGGGGAGGGGGGGGGGTGTTTGAACACCCTCCCCCTTCTAACTCGGCTCCTGGGCCTTGTAGCCGATGCGCGGAAAGCGACGTTCGAAAGAGCGTCAAAAATAAGGAAGAAATCACTTCGGTCACTTTTTTGGTCAGGTCAAAGGTCAGGTCACGAGAGGTCATTGAAGGCCAAAATTCGCCGATTTGTAGGTCAGATATCAACAATTTTCAACAAATCGACGCACAGCTCGGAAACTAATACCTAAAGCTACAGCGCCGCGGAAAAGCTAATTTGATAGCCCTATTAACGCTCTTTCTGAGTATTTCTCCCGGATTTGGCCTACCGTCAACGGTTTTGCCTGCAGGGGACAAAAACTGCCAAAATAGCCGATTTTTTTCGGAAACGGTTTTTCTGCAATAACTTCCGACTCAAACCTTGCACGAACTTTCTTTTACCAGCATCGTGTTCCTCTCGTCAAGACGCGTAGAATGAATGATCAGTTGAACTTGAAAGGTCAACTTGAAAATTTGACCTCAGGTCAACTGACCGACCGGTCAAGTTGCATATCAGTCGATGCGTATCGTCGAGCCAAACACAACTAAGGTGTTTTCATCACTCTAGCATGCCTCTATCAAAAGTTGTTCGCGAAAAAGTCAGATACCATTGGCGGCCTGAGATGACCTCGGGGGCATTATCACTCTCTGAAAGTTTCAAAGCAATAGGTAGGTCACTTGGTGTAGCTTTGGCAGACATTGAAACTTTTTACCTGGGGAGGTCACTTGATCTGACCTGGTGAGTGGTGACCTGACCTTAAGTGACCTGGGTCTAAAATTTTCACAACCAATGTAGAAAAGATGTTTGATAAGGTGCCGCCGTTTTTGAGATAGGTATTCGCGAAAAACGTATGAGGGGGTGTTCAAACACCCCCCCCCCCCAGCAGGGTGCGGGCTAGAGGGGCACGTCACTGGACGCGGAGGGGGCACATGCTGGATAGGAAAAAGGTGTTAGGTCATACGCGGAAGCGTCGTTGACAAACGCTAAACGAGTATACAGGGGCGCGGGAACTACTTTCAGACTGGGGGGGGGGCACACCATAATAGAGATCAACCTAGGGTACCCCCAAATCAAGTTTTCTCATCGGTTTTAGGCCACTTACTTTTCATCCCTTGACTTTTTCAACAAAAAAGAAAACATTTGCATAAAAAGTGCGGTATTCCGTCTCAAAGTTGTGGGGGCACCGCCCCCCACGGCCTCAGAGTTATGGGGCAAGTTGCCCCCACTGCCCCCCCCCCCGGTTCCCGCGCCTATGCGAGTATAAGTTCTTTAGGTAAACCGTTCATCAGAACGCAGCAGACTCGCACCTGAAGACGGCACCTAAGCCCTGCTGCGGGCAGGATGTCCAGTTTTCATGGACACGAGCCTGCCTGACACGCGTTCGGAAAACTCGGCTCTGAGATGCAGTGAGCGGCCGCGGCGCCGGATCATTCCGCGCCGGAAACCGTCAGCCGGAGACCGTCAGCCGGAGACCGTCAGCCGCCGGAGACCGTCAGCCGCCGGAGACCGTCAGCCGGAGACCGTCAGCCGCCGGAGACCGTCAGCCGCCGGAGACCGTCAGCCGCCGGAGACCGTCAGCCGGAGACCGTCAGCCGGAGACCGTCAGCCGGAGACCGTCAGCCGCCGGAGACCGTCAGCCGCCGGAGACCGTCAGCCGGAGACCGTCAGCCGGAGACCGTCAGCCGGAGACCGTCAGCCGCCGGAGACCGTCAGCCGGAGACCGTCAGCCGCCGGAGACCGTCAGCCGCCGGAGACCGTCAGCCGCCGGAGACCGTCAGCCGGAGACCGTCAGCCGCCGGAGACCGTCAGCCGGAGACCGTCAGTCAGCCGAGGGCCATGACCGCGGCGGCGGCCGGTCGGACCAGGGCGCACCGCACCGGTCTGGGCCGCCTGCCTCGGCTCGGCGCCGACTGAGCAAATAATCGGCGACCGGCGCGGCCAGTGCCCAGCTGTCCGACCGGATGGACACTGGACAGTGCCCAGCTGTCCGACCGGGTGGACAGTGCCCAGCTGTCCGACCGGGTGGACAGTGCCCAGCTGTCCGACCGGGCGGACACTGGCAAGGGTGGAGCTTTTCCGGGGAAGCTGGTGGGGCAAAAAGTCGTCAAACTTACCATGTCCAATTGTTGAGTTAGATAAAGTGCAACACTGAATCGATTCTTTTCATTACTGAGATAATGTTTGACATCAGACAGACATTTCCGAAGCTCCCCAATGCGAAAAAGATTGGTTAGCTAACCCGCGCCCTGGTGGGGTCTGTTTATAACGCGACCTGGTGGGGGTTGGCTATTTTTTGCCCCGCCTCGCATCTCCGAAACTACTGGACGGATCCGCAAAATTCAAACGGCGTTCGATAGCCCTGTCAAATTTGTCGAAGGAACCCAAATTTCATTGAACTCGGGGTCACCGATGACGTCATAAGTCAGGTCAAAGGTGAAATGTTTCACCGTTCACGGGTCTTCTAGGGAATGCGCTAGAACACCGAAGAAAACGCATTTTGTCGAGAATCAGCGATAGGGCGTCAGTTGCCTAGCACATATGTTGCTATAAGAGGTCACTGATAATACCAGGTCAGGTCACAGGTCAGGTCACCAAGGGTCACAGGTCAGGTCACATGAACCTAACTTTAGGTAGGGTAGACCGGGGCAAGTCGCCCCGCCGAGGTAAAACGCCTCACCGATGTTTCTCGGAACTGGCAAGGTTCTGGGGAAACATCCTCTCTTCTATAAAACGTGCACTATACGATCATTATATGAGCAGACTGGAAATAAATTGTGATGACTCTTTAGGGAGATATAGCCAAAAATGTGTTTTTGGAGTGATTTTTATGTTTTGTTGTCAGATTATGCATCATGGCGTTCTTTTATCGTCCACATCAGGTTAACGACTTTTATGTATTTTGAACAACTATTGTCTAACGCTTACAATGCCGGGTTGGTTCGTGTTAAATTATGTCTTCCTGGAGTGCAAGGCGTTGTTCTCTGACCGAACTACGTGATGGGGTGAAACGCCCCAGTAGGTCGCGGGGCAAAAAGCCCCATGGGGCGTTTTACCTCATGTGTTGTTCGGACTACCCACTTCCTAACGTTCGGTAGCTGGCGAACGGTATGTTTCTATGCATTTATATGTACTTTTCTCAGCAACTGGATGGCAAAGGAAGTATTTTGTTAACATTTGCATTGCAATAATTTATTATTTGGCCTTATGAGGCAGGTGAAAAACCTGCTCATACAATAGTGTCGTAGCTGAACACCTGATAGGATGGAAGGTGCTAACTTCAGTGCCATGCCTCCCAAGGTCCAACGGACCTTTCATTTAAGATTTAGTCAACTAGCATGTTTAATCTTTAATCTAGAGTATGGGGCTTCTTGCCCCAGGCCGTGGGGCGTTTTGCCCTGGGGTTGGGGCAAAACGCCCTATTTGCAGTTGTTTCACAAACCACTTCCTAGCTGGGAGTCCGATCATAAGTGAATGAATTTGAGGGGTGGAAATTAAAGTACAATGTCCAAAGAACGCATTGAGCACAAATTTGGCCTTCCAGGTTATGTGGAATAAAAGTTATGTAGCAAAATAAATTATCTGGGGCGTCTTGCCCCAGGCTACCCTACTAAGGTTGTGCGATGCATGTTTTATGGCCAATTTTTCATTTCCAACTCAATGGTGTTGGTTATAAGACTATCAGGTACGGCTTAGGTCACTTTCTGGTGAAGGTCAGGTCAAGGTCAGGTCAAAAAGGTAAAATTTTAAAGTTGCTGGTTTTGCATAAAATGGGTATTGTTTCGATGCAGCTCGTCACGGGGAGTCTAATGGTGGTCTCTGTTTTGCGCTACGGGGTCTAGAATTGCTAAAAATTGAGTTTAAAAATTTGACGTCATCAATTTTGAACAGTTTTTTCGCTAAAACTTCGCCAAAAAAAGAGGTATCAATCTGACATTTGGTATGTGGATAGAAGGCGGTAAGAACTATCACATATATTCCGGTTTTTGCGAAATTCAAAAAACTTTTTGGATTTTTCGGCTATTATATTCAAAAAATCTATTTTTTTATTTTTAGGGGTCAAAATCCAAAGATTTCAAAAATCCGAGATAGCAGCTTTGTAGCCCTGTCGATTCTACAGCTTTTATGTCTTTATCGTTTTCCTGTAGGTATTTGCAAAGCTATAGGCCTGACAGCTCTTCCCGCGAGACCATTTTTTGGGTCGAAAACGGCAGAACATGACGTCACCCTGACGTCATTTACGGCCAACCTATCATAGCCTTTGGAAAAAATTTGGTCACAATGTGTAAAATTGATGTCCGGGAGGGTACTGAAAGTTTGGTGACGATTGGCGCAGCGGTTCTGGAGATATATCGAAAAGTCTGGGAGGGGGGCAAAAAATAGCCCCCCCCCAGGGCGCGGGCTAATGCAACAAAGTCCCAAAAGTCAGCTAAAGTTGGTGGGGCAAAACGCTCATTGGTGGGGCAAAATGGCAAGTTGGTGGGGCAGCCGCCCCACCAACTGAATAGGAAGCTCCGCCCCTGGACACTGGACAGTGCCCAGCTGCCCGACCGGGTGGACACTGGACAGTGCCCAGCTGTCCGACCGGGTGGACAGTGGACAGTGTCCAGCTGTCCGACCGGGTGGACAGGGGACAGCGGCACACCGCGGCCGACAGCTCCACAGTCCACACACCGGCCGGTGGCCGCCGACCTGACCTGACCTGACCTGTCACTAGTGACCTGACACCACTGACCTGACGTACCACCAGTGAGATGACTTGTCACCAGTGACATGACCTGACACCAGTGACCTGGTCTGGTCGGTCACCAGTGGCCGGACTTGGCGCTGGGCTGGTTACACTCCTGTTATTACTTATACCGCTGGGCTAGTTACACTCCTGTCATTACTTGCTTTTTAAACAAATAAACGGAGTGGAGCGAGTGATGCCTGGCAGGTCGTAGGTGCCTATGTTTCGCCTGATCAATATTTATTTACTCCAGAGGCCTTCCCAAAGCCCTTGCCATGCCATGCTTCGGGTTGCCCCGATGGTTTTTGAATAGACGCCGGCCCGTGCGTGATATCAAGCTGAAGCATTCAGTGTTGTTATCTTGTGCAATGTGCATCTTCGTTATGAGCTATGTGCCTTTGCATAGTACCGAAGTTACCTTGTTTTCAGCGCCCACTCGCTTTTAGTCCGTTATCACTAAGCACAGCACTTATCACATAGGTGCCTACCGAACTCTGGATTAGTTTCAAGCGGGAAGTTTTCACAAGTCATCTGGAATAGGGGCCCGGCCCGTTGACCGGTGCGGCGGCGTGGGAGGGGGGGGGGGGGAGGCCGCCGCTGACCGCCGAGCAGTGGGCACACCCCACTGCCCATTGCGAGAGAGCGGCCTTGGTCAGCCCGCGCAGCAGTCCGGCCAGGCTGCGGCAGCTCTGCGGCCCCGGACCGGGCTTCAACGACACCCTTGGCTGTCGGCACTGGCTTCGGCACTAGCAGCCGGCGCTAGCTGTTATCACTAGCCGTCGGGCTGTCGGCACAAGCTGTCGGGCTGTTAGCACGAACTATCGGCACTAGCTGTCGGTACTGACTGTCGGGCTGTCGGCAAGACCTTCAGCTACTGGACTGTCAGCACCAGCTGTAAGCACTAACTCGGGATGCTACGCTACGACAGCACCATTACACTACTAAAACATTTAGATAGATGTGCTGCCACGGGCCAAATGACTAAACCAGTCATCAAGCTGAGCATGAGATAGCGAGGCGGTGAACAAGGCGTAGTATGGGAGGCTGGAGGTTCCCTTATTCGCCGGCCGGCTCAGGAGCTGCCGCGTGCGGCGGCGGCACGCCCGGTACCGCGCGCACTGGAGCCCATGCCCCGCCGGGCCGGCTGCTGACCACGCACCGGTTGGCGCCGCCTGCAGCACCGCTTACCTGGCCGGCGTCCAGTCGCGGCCACTGCGCAGCTGTCCATGGCCGGTGGTCGGTGTCCCTCAGCGCGGATGGCGGCTGTCCTTCGCGGCTACCTGCGGCTGTGTCCCTCGCGGCACAGCGTCGTAACGAACCTCACCGCCCCGCCGGCGCGCGACCGCCCCACCACCAGTCCAGTCCGACTGCCGGCGCCGCCGCCCCACCACCAGTCCAGTCCGACTGCCGGCGCCGCGCGCGTCGCGCCGCTGACTGGACGGGCGGCCGGCAGGGGCGGCGCCAGCAGAGCGGCGGCGCGGCCGGCGACGGCGCCGCCCAGGTGCGGCCGCTGGCTGCGCCGCTGCCGGCCGCCGGAGCGCGGTCGGACGCCGCAGCGAGCCCGGTTCCGCCGCACCAGCTCCCGCCTCCGCCCACGGTACGTAGTAGACTGCTCTGCTGAGCTGCCGCCCGCGGCGGTGGCGCCCACCTGGAGGAGTCGCGCTGGCCCGCTCTCACCGGGCAGACCGGCAGGCGGCGGCCGGGAGCACACAGATCCATCGCAATTTCAAATGTGGCCAAAACCTCGAATAACGACCATTTTTAAATTCCTTCAGTGAGTGATTTTTTAACACAAAACGGATTGAAGCATCTGAAATCACCTTCGGCATATTTTTTAACCACCTGATCTCCGCTCACCGCAGTCGTGAACCTGGAACTTCTTTGGAAGCGCATGGTAGACCCAAAAGACATGTGAAACGCGCGCAACTTTGAGTGACTGTAGTCTGTAACATTGTAATAATTTGATCGAAACTGCAATAAATGGGCATCGCTGTGTTGCATGGTTCGTGCTGAAAATTTTGGTACCAAAAATAATGTTTTAGCTCGTCATCAATGCCATGCTAATTAGCAATGTTCGGGCACATGCATCACAGTCCGCATTTTCACTCATCGCATACTTGACAAAGGCCTACAAGAAAATCATCAATCACCCCCCAAAATTCGAATGGCTTAAAATGAGCCTGAGAACGTTCACAAACGGTTCCCGAAAGAATTAGCTGGGCATCAGTGGTCAAACGTTTGCTATGGGGGCAGAAGTGATGTGATGTCGGGCGGATTCGGCCGGCCGGCTGACCCGCGAGTCAGCGTCAGCTGTTGCTAGGCTGGGTCAGGGTCGACCGAGGTCAATATTGGCTGGTTGCCAGCGGGCGTCTGCTTGCATTTGGTGAGAGTATGAAAAGTGCAAAATATGAAATCAATCCGACGCGTTTTAATATGTGCACCTTTACTTTGAAAATTTTCACAAATGCATTGGAGGAAAAAAATCCACATGTGAAAAATTGTTATAAATTTAGGTCTATAACATGTAAAATGATGAGAGGATTCCAAATCTGGTCGCAAAATTCAAATCGGAGAACATTTGACTCCTGTTTTGGCCAAAAACTGTCCAAATTTGCCCAAATTGGATATTTTGCCTATTTTCGACGTTTTTTTTTTTTTGCCAAAACAGGGGTCAAATGTTCTCCGATTTGAATGTTACGACCAGATTTGGAATCCTCTCATCATTTTACGTATTATAGGCCCAAATCAGTAACGAGTTTTCATTTTTGACCTCCAATGCATTTTTGAAATTTTTCAAAGTAAAAGCGCACATAGTAAAACGCGTCGGAATGATTTCATATTTTGCACTTTTCATACTCTCACCAAATGCAGCCAGACGCAGGAAGGGAACCGATGATCCCAGACAAAAGTGTTTTTTTACGAGCCCTAAAATAATCCCTCTTCAAAATTTCGCGTATCGCAAAAAATGTGGTTTAAAATGGCAGAAATATTTCTCATTTTCAAAGAGCGTGATTCATCTGCTTTCATTTGAGCCCCTTATCACATCTCTAGCTTCCGTAGTTTTTGCGCTAGAGGTTTTGTCCACATTTGAATTCGAGACGGACCTGTGTGGGGAGGGGGCGGGACACTGACCGGGCAGACCGGCAAGCGGCGGCCGGTCACTTTGCCCGACTTTCGACTTTGCCCGAGCCTACGACACGGTCGACCACCGACTCCTCAGGGTCCGCCTGATGGAACTGGGGATCCCGCGCTGCTTCTACGCCTGGACCTGGCAGTATCTAAGAGACCGGCGAGCGCGAGTGGAGTTCCAGAGCGCAACTAGCGGCGAGCGGGTGTACAGGGCGGGCCTGCCTCAGGGCAGCGTCCTGTCCCCGGCCCTGTTCTTGTTATGGGCCGCCCCACTCGCCGCGGAACTCCAGAAGACCCCTGGCACCACGGCGTTCCTCTATGCCGACGACACTGCGGCCCTGTGCTCGGGCAACAACATCGAGGTCGCCAAACTACGTGCACAACAGGCAGCGGACGCGCTCGTCAAGTGGGCCCGCGCTTCCAAGATGGTGGTTGCCGGCCAGAAGACTCAGGCGCTGGTCCTGTCGCAGTGGGCCCGGGACGCCGTCAACTGCTCCGTCCAAGTGGCAGGGGAGACGGTCGTCGCGGGCGACCAGCTGAAGCTGCTTGGAGTCACACTGGACCGACTGCTCCACTTCGGAGCCCACTGTCGCAGCCTCCGCCAGCGCGTGCGACCTCGAACCAACCAACTCAGACTGCTGACCGGGCGTGAGTGGGGGCTGGAAGAGCGCCAGCTGCGCATCGTCGCCTCCGGCTACATCCGCGGCGCACTGGAACACGCCGCCGCCGCCTGGCTCCCAGCTGCGTCACCGTCCCATATCATGCTGCTGGAGAGGGAGATGCGCGAGGCCGCCAGAGTGGTAACCGGCTGCCCCCGGTCCACTCCAGCACACGCCGTAATGGCGGAGGCGGGCCTCGCCCCGGTGGCCGAGCGACGCACGGCCCTGGCGGCGCGCCTACTGGCCAAGGCGCGCGCCCTCCCGGCTGGAGACCCGCTGCGGAAGGTGGCGGAGAGCCAGGTCCCCACCCGCCTCAGCACCGTGACAGGGTGGAGAGGAGTGGGCGAGGAGACATGGAGAGCGGCGGGCATCTGCCCTCCGATCGAGCCCATCCTCCCCCTGCCGGACCCACCATGGGAACCGTCACCAACGGTTTCCTTCAGCCTCGACATAGGAGCCGCCATCCCAACCGCGGCCAGCGACACCTGGAAGAGAAATGCGGCATCCCAGCACCTGGCGGCGCTCCCGCAGTGCGCCACCTGGGTGTGGACCGACGGCTCGGCCACCGACGGCGTCCTGAACGGTGGCGCCGGAGCCCTGATCGTGTGGCCGGACGGAGAGGAACGTTCGGTCCGCGCCCCGGCGGGCCGCCTGTGTTCAAGCTTCCGGGCTGAAATGGTCGCCCTCCGGACCGCCCTCTCGTTCCTTCTGGAGAACCCGCTTCACGCAGACGACCCCGTAGTAATCTGCACAGACTCACAGTCCGCCCTCGCCGCACTCCGAGAGGGCCCGGCCGCCCAGCACTCCCCGCTGGGAGGGGCCATCTGGAGAGCCCTCCGGGGCCTGACGGCGGGAGGCCGGCAGGTCCACCTGCAATGGGTGCCCTCGCACTGCGGACTGGAGGGGAATGAGAGGGTGGACTCGATCGCCAAGGAGGCCAGCAATCTCGCCCAGGACCAAGCCCCCATCGACGTCCAGACGGCCCACCGGGCCGCCGCCAGAGTGGCGAGGGCCCGGACCATCCGAGCCTGGCCGGCCGGCTGGTTCCGCCGACTGACCGGGGACCGCCTCCCGCCGGCCGTGGCCGGCGGAGACCGGTCGGCGGCGGTGGACGTACACCAGCTCCGCGCCGGCCACTGGACCAGCTCTACACAGTGGCGCCACAGAGTCGGGCTGGCGCCCTCCCGGCTGGCGGGGTGCGAGCAGTGTGACGATCAACACTGCAGGGCTGCGCTCTGCCCCGTCTGCCGGGAGGAGGCGGACATCCCCCAGCATGTCCTCCTGCGCTGCCCGGCCCTGATGGCCACCCGACACCGACTGCTGGGATCCATCAACCCCGACCTTGAAGAGGTGCGGAGCGGCGCCATCGTGGCGGCCCTGGGGGCCGCCCACAGGTCCCTACAGAGCCGGACGGCTACGTCTCAGCTGTGAGACGGAGGGACCAACAACAACAACAGCGGCGGCCGGGAGCGGGCGGGACACTCACCGGGCAAACCGTGGACGCCGTCCGAGTGTTGGGAGACGCACTATTTTGTTTAAAGGTAGTGTGCCAGCTTTCCTGGACCGTATGGAGTTAATGGCCCAGATAAGGAGAACGGGATTTTTAGAACTTATCTATACCTTCAAAACTCATGGAAACGTCTTATTTTCTTCAAATTTTGAGTACCCCAGTGCGAAATTCGCCCCGACGGGTTGTCGGTCGTACCCCAACCACATTTCACACCACTATGAACAATAAATGCACACACTGAAATCGCTATTACCGATATGCTCATCCAATCAAGTTTCGATAAACCCGTTCATCATCATCTCCTGCGGTTTCGAACACGCCTGTTAGGTGGTGCGGTAGACCGCGCCCAAAGCCAGGGCCCCGGTTTCGTGAGGTAGCCGAGTCGGGGCAGCGTGCGCTGACCCAAGCCGGGGCCGCGCGTCCTCCTGGTGTCATGTGATAGCCCGGAGCTGCCCGCGGGGATGCGGTAGACCGCGCCCAAAGCTGCGGCCCCGGCTTGGGTCAGCGCACGCTGCCCCGACTCGGATACCTCACGTTACCGGGGCCCTGGCTTTGGGCGCGGCTTCTGCTCATACTTTGTGGTGCGGTGGTGGTGCGTCGGGCCGCGCGCTCTGACTTCGGCCAAGAAAAATGCGTCAGCTGATCATTGTCATTTCTGCCACTTGCGTGTGGTGAAATGGGGTCATAACTTAAGAGACGGCTTTTTCATATCACTTATTTTACATAAAATCATATTTCAAACCATAAATAATGTTCGACAGCCAAATAAAAGAAACAATACCAATACAGGCTTACAGTTTAAGGCTCGACATTGTGTTGTCTACAATTAGACAGCTGATAACTCATTCCCGTACGTCGTAACTCTATAATGACCTTTGCTTATTGTCACATGTGCGCCGCATTCGCGATTGTTGCCGACGCCTGTTTGCAGGTCAGCCCACTACAGTTGTTATACATATCGAAAAACCGATTAACTTTTAGGCGAAAAAGGCACTATTCCAGGCCCATTTTTGATTTTCTTTGCGATATTAGGTAAAAACAGAAGCTTCTTATCTTAGGAAAAATAAAATGGGAAATCTTTCAAAGGTGGCACACTACCTTAACCCTCGCATGTGTAGGGGGGGGAGGTCGGATGGACCCCCCCATGGTTTTTCGCGAATAACTCGCGTAAAAAGCGGCCGATCGCGACGAAACTTTCAGTACCCTCACATTAATCAATTTTACACCTACCCTGAAAATTTCATGACCCTGACCCAAATGACCTTTGACCTGTGTCCTCTTTTCCGAGACCATGTTTGGCCGGAATCGCGATTCTGCGTATGTCGGCTCGCATTAGCCGCGCGTTTGCAAGCTTTTCGTGGTTTCAAACGTTCAAACATGTGATTTGATGTTGCTTCCATGCATTAGGGTGGGTGTCAAGGTCACCTGAAGGTCAGGTCAGGTCATTGACCTTTGGTAACCTCGGGTGACCTCGGTTCACTTTTTCGAGCTGAACATGTTTCTAGGCTAGTTTTTGGAGCTGAATTCGAATTTAGCAACCATTTGAACATTTACGAAGTAGTTTTGGTGCCTTCGTAACATGTTACGAAGCTGTCAGAGGCGGTTGACACGTACTACGAATACCCGTCACGACGCCTACTGGTTGACCTGACCTGACCTGACCCGACCTGCTCTAAACGCTTAAAGACATCATCTGTGATCAAAACTAACACGATATTCGTGATCAGCACCAAAAACCCCTTAGCAGCCACGCTTTACGACTTTCTAACAGGTCCCGATTTTCCCGACTTTGGGTCATTGACCTGACCTGGAAGGTCAACCAATGACCTAGGACCTTAAAATTGGGTATCATCGGCTTCCTCTCGTCACGGGCAACACGCTCGTTTTTTCCGCGAAGCTCTAGCTCGATCAGGGGCCAAACGGCAAGGGGGGGGGGTCCAACCGACCCCTCCCCCCCTACACATTAGAAGCTGGCAAACGCCGCACACATGCGAGGATTAAATTAACGGGGTTACATGAGCGATCCGTTCCAAATACGCACTACGCTAATGCGCATCAGCTCCCCACAAACGTATCTACGGCATCGGTTACATGAGACTAATTCGTTTTATCTACGTCCAACGGATCTTGTTTGGCTCACCCGGGCTGACTCCTCGACGGCCGGTAATTCGTATCACAAACGGAATAGGATAAGCGTACAGTCATGGCGCAGTTGCGGCATTTACCGGGACGACTGAACTAAATTTTAAATACTTACATCATTTGATAGGCTCAAAAACATTTAAAATTAACATGAAATCAAAAAATGAAAACAAAGTTTTCTTGTTTTAAGTCAGTGGGCACTGATTCGCCATGCAGCGACAGCAGGGTGGTCAGAACAAATTATGTATCAAAATATTTCATTCATTTTATTTCACATGCAAAGACTAAACCAAAATACCAGCATTGTTTTGCTATTTTCTACGAGGCAGCCAATAAAAAAATGCTTAGTATTTTGCATTTTGACGCTTCCAGTCAGCAAAGAATAGTTCTTGTGAAATACGGCCCGAATCCTGTGCCTTGGTTACATGAGCGAGCCGTTCCAAATACGCACTACGCTAATTCGCATCAGCTCCCCAAGAACGCATTCAGTGCACCGACTACATGAGCAAATTCGTATCAGTGACGTCAAACGGATCTAGTTTGGCTCTCGGCCCGATGCGCATTACAAACGGAATAGCATACAAATGTGGCGCACTTCCGTAGCAATAGAGGTGACTGAATTAAAAACTTAATATCTTATGTCTTTTTTGCATTTAATCTGCTCAAAACATTCTCAATTAACTTAACAAAAAAAAGTTGAACATAAAGTTGTCTTGCTTTGAGTCATTGAGCACTTGCCTCTCTTGATTCGTCTGTAGTGCTGTCAGAAAAAATGTTTCAACTGAAAGTACTTTGATATTTTCTTTTTGGTTTTCACTATATTTATTTTTGAAAATTTGACAAAATACCGACATATTTTTTTAATTTTTATTTCAAAAGAAGCAAATGAAAAAAAAATACCTATCATTTTGCATTTTAATGTTTCTTTTTGGAAAGAAATAGTTCCTGTAATACGTATCTTGGTCCTATTCGCTTCTAAGCCTCTTTCCCTGCGGATTTTGTTCGGACCGCCGATTCGTATTAGCAGGTGGATACATGAGTCGGTAGTACGCTCCTGATTCGCATTAGCGGTGAATCCGATCGTGATACGTATTTGCTTTGCTCATGTAACCGCGGATCGGATCGCCGATTCGTACTAGCAGGTGTCTACATGAGTCGGTAATGCGTTCCTAATTCGAATTAGCGGCTAAATACGTATTTACTGTGCTCATGTAACCCCGATAAATGTGTCTCCTCCGAGCCCACTGTGTGGGCAGGGTACACTTGTACCGCCAGGACGAGCCGCGTCCCGCTCGGGAGTCGCGCGATCACGCGCTTGTCACGCGACCCTTCCCACCGCCGAGTTGACCTGTGTTGAGGTCGCGGCGGGAGAGGGTCAGTCGATTCGGTGCAGCGGAGCGGGCCGGGTGGCTCGACTATTAGGCTTGAGTTAGGGTAGGGCCGTAACACAGAGAGCTGCACAAAGAGTCGTCTGGGCCAGGAAAGGTCAGCGTACACGGCTGCCTTTGCCCTTTCTGCACCCTGGCCCATTGGGGAAAGTTCGGCATACACAGCCGTCTTTTGCACCCCCAAATAGACGTCTCTCGGCCAGTAGGGCCAGCCTATAGGCTGACCTATTGCACGGTGGCCTTAGCAGTGTCAGTGCTCTCCGTGTGTTTTTATATACCCTATTTGTGAGCCAAATTAATTAAACAATTTAATCGTAGTGTTTTCGGCCATTTACTTGTATTGTTTTCATTTCATGCCCATTTTTATATACACTTCACTTGAATTTAACGGTGATTTTGGAGTGATCCGGAGTCTGTCTCGTCACGAGCTACCTTCAACATAGTCTTCCGGGCCGGATCACCCGCTGCAGTGCTTGCTCATTCGAAGCACTGAATAGTGAAAATCACGACTTTTGGAAATCACGGGCAAAACGAACGTAGACATGGCCGAAATTGAACAGCTCAAAAGTAAATGTATTAATGAACGAGTAAAGGCTACCAAACCTACCAATGAGTTAAAATCGCTCTTCAAAGAAGTCCATGACGACAACCAGATCTCCGAGCTAGACTACGTCATCAAAATCGGCGGAGTCACCTGACGCTGCTGGAAACTCTCTAAGCCCAGCTGAAGGATGCCGGTATAGAGGACGCCGAATCCACTCACATCGCCGACCTGCACCGAGCTATCGGCCTCTGAAAACGCCTCCTATCGGGCCTGCGGGAGCTAGATGTCCATAAAGGTAGCGTCGTATTCGTATTCGGATTCAAATTCGAGTAATGATTTCGCTCAAAATTGGCATACTCAGCGAACTCAGCGTGCCCATGACACGCTGAGTTCGAAAATGGTGACCTTTTTTCCTAGGTCATACCGTTTAACCTTGAGAGGTCAAAACACTGCGTACCCTGTAGAATCTTTGTTTATGGTCCGATTCGAAAAATTCGCCCACCAGTGTGTTTGTCTCATCGAGAAGCAGTAGCACATTAAAAAAATCCGAGGTCAAGGTCATAGGTCAAGTTCAATGTCATTTTAACCCGCGCCGGGCCGGGGGTTTTGAACACCCCCTGCGGTTTTTCGCAGATATCTCAAAAACGGCGGCCGTTTTTGACACACCTGTTCTTGCATTTTTTTCCGCACATGTTGTGAAAATTTCAGACCCAGGTCGTTTTAGGTCAGGTCACCAGGTCACGCCAAGTGACCTCACCTCATAAAAAATAAGAATGCTCGTCATAGCTAAACCGATTGATCGATTGCCTTGAAACTTTCAGCGATTGATGACAGAAACATTATCTAT